CACTGGGACTATACTCATGAGTTTCCCAGGCCCACAGTGTAGAAATGAATGGGAATGCATGACTCATGGAAAAATGCATGAATGCAAATTTTAAAGTGGGGATGTCCAGAGCAATAGGTAAGCTGTAACAACTCAGAGTAAACTTGGAATTTATCACCAATTCTCCCTTTACCTTGTCTGCTTCTGTTTTTTAGATATTTAACTTAAACCCACAATAAAGTAGATGTTTTTTAAGTATGTTAGTCCCTGTGGGCAGATGATCAATGTCAAAAATCAAAACTGTCACTCTTCTCACTGACTTGTAATCCAAGCTAGCATGCAGACCTCCCGAATTCAGCATCTCCTCTAAAATGATCTTAAAACATCCTCATATCTGAGTTACTACAGTAATTGTTTGCTGTTCACAGATTTTCAGTTGTTAGGTTCAGTCCCTCAAAGCATGAAACATAGAAGACTATTTAATAAAACCTAAGCTTGGTAGACAGCAACATTACTATGCTATTTCCAGGCCATACATTTGCTCTGTTAGGAGGTAGTACGAGAGGCACTCAGGATTTTACTGAATTCTGGTTGCTTGCACAGGTAGGACAGGCCTTCCTTTAGCCACTCATGGGAGACGCATGTTCTCAGCCAAATTATCATACATCCCATGAAAGAATTTAAACAGGAACACAGCATTTTGACATAGCTTTTGGCTTTCTCTGGATATCTTATGGCTTCCCATTTTGGAGAGTGTGCTGGAAGAAGTGCTTTTTGGTAATTCTGCCTGGTCATTTCTGAGGCAAAATTAATGTTATGGAAGGGCAAGATGTCATTTTTTGTTGTGTCTACCTCTTCACCTTCCTTCAGAAATGTAACACCAGTCTAAAAACAAGTTTTGCAGAAACAATTCACTCCAACACAAGCTGATTTTACTTGCTGTTCTGTGATGCACTGAGGTCAGCTGTTTAAGTAGTTTCAAATCCTCAGCAGCTCTGTTACTTCTATGTAAATATGAACAGAGAGAAGGAATACTTTGTCATTAGGTATTTTGTCCAAGAGATCAGAGACACCAGCAAGGTACTCATTCAAACACTACTGCAGGACACAAGGAAGATCAGGCACTTTATCATTACCTCTATAGCATACACAAGATGTATTGCCTCAGCATTAGCAAAACCCTTTATCATTTTTATACCAGCAGAAATTCCTTCCAAGGAAAGGAATTCACAGTAAATCCGCATTTTGCCAGGTAATAACAACATCACACCCAAACCCATACCTACCTGCAACTTCTTCCTCTGAAAGACAACTCACGCATTTTGAAAAAAGTTATTTATTTTCACTGCTTTAATCTCTCTACTGTAGTGTTAGCACTTAACATAAGCATCCACTCTTCTACTGTCCTATTTACAATCCATTGAAATGTATACTCTACAAATACAATACATATTTTCAGAAATGTAAGGGAAATGCACAATTCTGTAAGGTTTAAAAAAGTGACACTCATCTGTACAGGATCCTCAAATCATCCAAAAAGTAAAATTTACAAGGCAGTATCCACACAGCTATGTAAGGGCAGGTGCTACAGTGACAAAGCAGCAAACTTGCTAATACAATAAAATACAGAAAATTAAAGTGTTTTGGGGCACCAGATAATACCTTTAGTACCGCTGAAGTTGTAAATTTAGTAATACCCATATTTCTAGAAACATGTAACTGCAAACCTGGAGAATGTTCTGAAAAATATTAAACATTATATACACATGAGGTAAATGTACCTTGGTCTTTTAAGAGGTAATTTGAGTTTAAAGCAACTGATATGGTGAAGTTTTTTTTTTTTTAAACACAAAATGATTAACACCTTGCAATTGTTTCAATGGCACAATATAAACAAGGACTAACTAAAAGGTGAATTCCATGGCAGTCACACTCAGAGCCATTACTGAAAAAAATGAAATAGCCTCTTATTTCATTTGAAACCTTCATGTCCCCATAGAGTCAATCCCAATGTCTTTACCTATATACAAAATCTTTCTTAGGATTACAAGTGGAACCGTTGGAGGGTGACATTGTGTCATACTTGGAAAGTCAGCTTGAGAAACATCCCAGAATTCCAGCTTTAAAAGGTTGGAAGATCCCTGAAGAATTCCAGCATTCCAAAACAATGTTTCGGGCTTTTCAGCATCAGACCATTTCCAATGCTCCTTATCTCCATGTCCATATCCACCTGGTCACAAGTCTGTAAACCAAACTGAGGCTTCAATGCTACTAAAATGTCAAATTGATTAAATCCACAAAACTTAAGTGAATGTATAACGTATGTAATATTTACAATAAACATTTGCATCAGTATTAATCAGAAACTGTTTTGGTATATACTTGAAATGATACAAAATTAATATTTTGAATGCTAAAATATTTTGGTCCCCCTGGATTTCCAAGAGCAGATCTGGTGATATTACAATCTTAATTTAAAAAATACTTATGTGTACCTGTGTCCATATATATAAGATATGATCTTACACAGGTAACATTTAAAGTTACATTAATATATACAGACACAGCCTTTGTAAAAGGTGTTCAGTTTATAGAATGGAAAAGAACAAAGCTTGAAGTTATGGTGTCAGAACTGAGGATACATATAGCTCTATTCAGAATTTTCCTGTTCTGCATTCCAATATGAATAATAAGGTTGTCCCAAAATAACGTTCCTAATGTCACACACTATATCACGCATCCTTCCTGTGCTTTGTTTCTGCAAGCTTCTATTACAAAGCGAAAAATTAGAACAATGTAAGAATAGTTGCTAGCAATTCAGGAGAATGAAGACTAGTAGACAGTTGAGATGAGACATGTAACAAACCACTGTACAGTTGACCAAATAATCTGCATGCCATGATGGTGTTCAGCTGCTGTAGATTCTTTTTTAAATGCAACAGAACTGCTCCTTATATTTGAGGAAACTAAATGTTATGGTAATACGTTTTTGTAGGTGTTAACAAAAGCCACTAATTAAATTATTTGATGAACTATATTGGAAGCTCTCTCATGTTACCATCAAGATTACTATAAAGATCTGAAGCATGCCAGTAGCCTGATGACTCTAAAGTATGAACTATACCATTTGTATCTATGGTAAAGATCCAGTTACACCTATGAAAAACTCAAAATTTAACAAAGTCAACAAATTGTTTAAATAGGAAGCCTTTTGAAATTAGTATGGAGATATGGTAAGTTCTACTTTAATGCTAACCTGTTTTCTTTAAATATTTGTCTAGGTACATAGAACTTGTTAGAGAAGCATGCCAAATAGGCTTGGGAGTTTAGTTATATTCAATCATTTTTTAGAACAGTCATAATTGAAAAGCTCCATGGTGCACAGCTGTCCATTTGCACAAAGGCTAGTTAATTTAAAATACCTACATGAAGTAATTTTTGATCCAGCTTTGAATGATAGAGGCCTGAAGCACGTAAGCCTGACTGGTCAGATAATGCCAAACAAACGCAAGTGTGACAGCTGTACATATGTTTAAACCCAATTGTTTTCTAAGAAATTCTCTTATTTTTAACTCTTCTCCTGGATATCATCTTCCAGTATGAGTAAACTCATCCATAAAGGTGGTTGAACAAAGCATTTCATTATTTGCAGTTCTACCTCTGAAGGTCTGCAATTCCCACATCATTTAAACTTATCTCCAAGCAAGCACTAAGAATTTGGAAATAGGCAAGAGTTAGCGAAGTGCTAAGGCTTATCTTGGCTAAGTCTTATGTCACCCATATAGCCTCTTCTTACCAGGACCCATTCATCTCACTGCTTTAACTACCATATATCACAGACCACTGAACACACTCTTGACCACCCTGCCACTGCTACTAGCTTTGTGAAAAACTCTGTGGCCTGTATGCTGAAGAATGAAAAGGAAGCAGAGTTAAGGTTGCCATGTGTGTTGCATAATAGGATAGATACTGATGTGTTCTGGAGAGTAGGAGGTTAGGTGGCATATTCATTACCAGGCACATTTACGTACTAAAACACTATTGAGTGTTTTGGGCATAAATGAAACCAAAGGTCAACGAGACTCTCCCTAAAACTGCAATTAAAAAAATATCCTGGTAACACCATTTTTTAAAAAATAGTTTTCCATATTAATTCCCCCAGTCCCCTGCAGAAGTTGTACATTTGGGCAGGAAGCAATTAAACTTCTAAACAAGTTTGCAAAAATCTTGTGATATCCTTAAAATCTCAGGCAAATCTTGACTAAAGCCACACATATTCTTCTGTGTTCTTACGACAACACAAGCCACCATAAGCTTTGTCCTTGTAACTATGAAGAGGATTGCTGGAATCCTCTAGTATTTGTACCCAAAGACCTGCAGCTCACCACTTTATATAGCTCACCACTTTCTGTGTACGAGGCACACACAAAATATATGCACATAAAATTTATAAGCAGCTTTGAACTTTCTATTACAAAAGCCCAAATAACTTCTCCCTAATTACAGGTGCACTTAATCCTCATTTAATTGCAAATATAGTTCTTTGAGCCTTAAGACTCTGCAGAACTGCACAGAAAATGTTTCTCATATTTGATTTAATGAAGCAAAATCTCCTTAAGAACATCTTACTCCTCTTGCCACTTTTCTTAAGTAGATAGGTACTTCAAGCATTTTAGAAGTACCACTTGATTAAAAAAATCTTATATATGACTCATGACTTGAAAATTACAAAATATGACAGTGAATTAACTAGCTTACACTATGTAAAACTCCTACAGTGGTTTAGAGTCAGATTTTGGTAAAATTAAAGGATTCCACAAATTATGTACTCACTTGCTGAAACGAGTGTGAATTAGATCTTAACCTGTATTTTTGAAACAAAAAGTACCATAGGCTTTGTATGCTCCTACTGCTTTACATTAAAAGACTCAAAAGCGGCACTTACTGGTATAATACAATCTATTTTGAAGGCAATGTAATGTTCTGAAAAAGTGGAAAAAACCCAGTAATCATGTATGAAGTATAGTTGCATAAATTATGTTCCCACAACTGAAAGAGGTCAATTTGTAAATCAAGGTAAGAGTCCAAAAGATATACTACCTTAATAGCTAGCAAAGTATACTCCAACAGTACATTCACAATCTGAATCAAAGAAGTGACAGTGGTTCAGAATAGTCAATGTACCAGCCAGGAATAAAGTTTCTTAAAGAGCCATCAATGCACTCTAGAACAATATAGCAAACCAGTTCCATTTAAAATGTGACCTCCTTTTTTTAGCACAGTTAACTAGAAATTAAGACCAGCTATCAACTTTCCAAATAAAAAATTATAGGTTAATAAAAATAAAACTAGACTACACCAATGTTTTGTAAGTAACCTGGGAAAGAGGTTCATAGTGCACAGAAAGGACCCAACACAACTGTTTAGCATGTCCACAAAAATCCTAGTAAGTGACATTCCTATGAAGTACTAAAAGGCAGCAATATCCTTCTGTTCCCCCAATGAGGTAGAACAATTAACCTTCTTAACACGCCACTCTGGTGCAGATATGGATTTTTACAGTATTCTTCGGTAGCAAATCTGGGATTACATCTTTATCCCCTCCTGTTGACTAAGTTGCGATAACGTTTTCTTAATGCGCAAAGCTGTTAGCCTAGCAGCTCCGTTGGCATACCAGCATTCCCGCATAATTTTTGCCATTACTCGTAATGCCTGCAAAGGAAAGACAAGTAATTATATGTACTGCTGTTCCAATGTAGCCCATGTAACCTCTGTTCTGCCTTCGCCTCTTCATGCATTTCTGAAGTCTATTACTACAGCTGCATGGAAGACTGCAAATTCTTAACTTTTTTTACAGAAAAATAAAATTCTTTAAAATACTGTAGAGCAGAACTAGTATTTTTCAGTAGAATTTCAGCCCATGCAAAAATATTTTAATGAAAAATTAGTAGCTTGTCTGTAACTGTTTTCTGAATTTTTACATTAGACAAAAACACATTCTTTTTTATTGTACCTCCAAGTTAAGGAGTTAGTTCAATGTATAGCAATTCGGAAGTTTATCAGCTGTCTTCCTCAAATTGAAGCTCTGTAACGACTCTGAAAATTTCTGCAGTCTTTCTATCCTTCAAACAGCCATTATTTGAAATCTGTGAATGCTGCTACACAAGCAACAATGCAAATAAAAACTGAAGATTAAATGAAGTAATAGCTCTACCTTCCAAGATTTTACACTCAAAGCTGTATTACATCGAGCCACTAAGTTTGCGGGATTGGAGTGTCAGCATTTAAAAAATGACTCTACAGTCTGTCTGTGTGTATCATCGCTTTCTCTCCTACCTGCGTTCTCTTGCCCAATCTCTTATCTCAGGCCTTCACCCATGTTTTCATTACGCACACCACAACCCAGTTCCCTCTTCCATCTAAAGTACATCATATCTCATCAATCTCTTACTCCTACTGTAGCCTACTGCAGCTATTCTCCTAAGCTCTCAATCAGAAAGCATTGGGTTCCTAGAGCAAGCAATATGAACAAAGCTGGCTGGAAAGGCAAGAGCTCGCTGCTGTGCATACTACTGTGTGGGCAGTGACTACCAGCACAATGAACTCACCCCAGAATCAGGTAAGCACTTCTACAGAGGCATGGTCAGGACTGGTTGCTACATGCACACTTCAGTTCTAAGTCTTTGGTTTACTACAGTCTTAGCATCCTAATAACTGTGTTCATCTTTCAGTAAATGTATACAGTACAAATTCCGAGACACACAAAGTACTAAGGCCACCACAGTTTTGGATGAAAATTCCTAAAGGCATTTACTGTTTTGGCCAGTCTGTAGGATATTGCTTTACTACACACTGATAGGGCAAAGACCCCTGAATAAGTTAGTTCCAAGTAAGCATTCACATGAGGCAGCACAGCACTGTTGAAGACACCATCTGTGTCCCAACAAGCAGTACTGCTGTGCTGGCAGAGTATTGAGCTGAAACTAGCAAGTCCACTTACTGAAAGAGATTAACCAGCCTAGTTACAGAGCAACTGGCACAGACCTGATTACCTCATGTATCTTTACTACCCCTGTTGTGGGTTAACCCCAGTAGGCAGCTAAGCCCCACAGAGCCGCTCACTCAACTCCCCCCTCCAGTGGGATAGAGAAGAGATTCAGGAGGGCAGAAGTGAGAAAGCTTGTGGGTTGAGATAAAGACAGTTAATAGGCAAAGGTGGAAAACCAAGCCAAAATAAAAAACCCCAAATGATACAAACCCAATTGCCTACCACCATCTGACTGATGCCCAGCCAATCCCTTAGCAACAGCAATCCCTGGAAAACTCCCCCTTTCCCCAGTTTTATTGCTGAGCATGACATTGCATGGTATGGAATATCCCCCTGATCGACTTGGGTCAGCTGTCCCAGCTGTGTTCCCTCTCAGCCTCTTGTCCACCGCCAGCATACTCAGGGGTAGGTGGGGCAGAGGTGACAAATGGAGCAAGCCTTGAAGCTGTGTAAGCACCCTTCAGCAATAGCTAAAACATTGGTGCGCTATGCAACTGTTTTGGTCACAAATCCAAAACACAGCACCATACAGGCTACTACGAAGAAAGTTAACTCAATCCCAGCCAGACGCAGTACAACCCCCAGTTGTGCAATTCATCTGCAATGATACTTCCTGTACAACATAATTCAGACTAGCTTTAATTTACATTAGTGTCACCTATGCTTCACAGGAAGGGATCCTAGAATCTCCACATAGGGTTAGCTACTATTTTTTATGAAATGACATTAAGTATTAACGTATAACCAAGGATCAATGACATTCATTAAAGCTGCAATGATCGTAAGTTCTCCTAGAAGCAACCCTTCTCCCTTCAACAAGAAGCACAACAATTTTTAAGCCACTGAAATTATTAAAACCTCTAGTGTCTGTTAATGCAGCTTTAGCAAGGTTAGTTAATACCTCACAGCTCTGCCATCTGTTTGGAATATTGGGCCTTAACTTCTGCTCACACACAACTTTCCTCATTTCTTCAACAGAAGGATCTGAAGGAACGAGGTCATAGTATGGCAACTGGTAATCTTCGTGGATTCCTGTAATAGGTTGAAAATAGCTTTATTTTAGCTAACACTAAATTACATATTCTTCACTTTTTACTGTGTTCCTTATCAGTACCCTACCATTGTCTTTTTTGATTTTCATTTTTAAAAATTACATTACAATGGCTGACAAATAAATAAATAAATAAATCCTTAACCATACCTTAGGAGTATTTACATTACCCTTGAAGAATTTTTAATTTTGAAATTTATATATTTAGAAAAGATGGAAGCTATGTCAAATCTTTCATATGCTACACTAACGACATGCTTCTTAGATTTATTATAGCAAGTTTTCTTTTAAATAAGGCACGGATGTTACCTGAACACATTATAGCTAGTCCTTACTTGTGCTGTTAGCCCCTTGCTCTCAAGGATATTTAACTTCACCCTTTCCTCCCCTCTATGTAAAGGTTTTAGGGGGGGAAAAAAACCCCCATATATATATATGTATATATAGACAAGAATAATTCCTATGGTTCATCAATTTACAAAGAGGTTGAATAAACCAGTCATCATTTACAGGATTAACAGTTAGAAAGTCTGAGACATACTGGATATTACCTTGCACTGTTTTTAGAACAAACTTTACACAAACATATTCAGGTTCTGTAAGTTACTTATAATTCCTTAGTATGTCCAATTTTGTAAAGATTGCCACATACCACCAATTGAACATCGCCGAGCTATTTCCCAAAACACTAATCCCATTGCATAGATGTCTGCTCGTTTGAATGATTCAAAATGTTTCATATTTATGGAATCATCTAGAACTTCAGGTGCCATGTACCTATTTGTAATAAAAAAAAAGAAAACATTTAATTTCATGAATATTTACTGTAGAGAAAGTTCCGTGCTACTGATAAGCTCAAAACCAAATTTGAGTATTTATGTGGAAAAGGAGGCAAAGGAAAATCTGCTTCATTAAGGTTATGGAATCAAAGACCTTTCATCGCAAAGGGAACAACTAAACTGAGAGGAACAAGTAAAGGAATAGGGGGAATAAGCAAAACGTGAAGCAATAAACACATAGAGCCATAAACCTGACAGACACAGGATAACAGAGACAATGACAAAGACCAAAAGCCTCCAGTTGCTAATTGATGGGCTATTAAAAAACTCCAGGCATAGCTTTAGAGATGGCCAGTCTGGATGTTGTAACTGCTAATAAGTGGGAAACAAGAAGAACATGAGGATTGTGGATATTCAAGGGAGGCCTGTGGGACTATGCAATGCTTATCAAGGAATGTTTAGGAGAAGGGTAACTGGGAGGAACAAAAGTGGGGCAATAGATAGAAAAGGACTTCAGGGGGGCCAGTTGCATAAACAGTTGCCAGTCACTTGTCTGACCAAGCCCTGCACCTGCTCACCGCAGCACACCCTATCTTCTTATTAAATCCTATCTTTCTGTGCAATCCTGCTCTTAACCCCATGTGTACATGTGCTCTAAGGACTACATGCCAACAAGTGGGTCTCAGCATCAGCAGCTGGAAGGGTAACTGCAGATCCTAGGAGCACATATCTGGAGCTACTGTGGGGGGTACTAGTATGAATGAATTCTGGACCAAACAACTACAGTCAGACAGTGGGTGAACATGGTGCCAGCAATTTGAGCAAATGAGGGTCTCTGCTTCAGCCACTGAAGGGGGACCACAGGTCACAGGCTTCAGTCATATGCTTACAGGTACCAGCTACAGGGGAGAACCAGGATGAGAGAAGCAGAGTAAGGGCCTCTCAGCACCTTCCTACTGGAGCAGAATCTCAGTTCATAAGGTCTATGTGCCTGGGTGCTAGCTGCTGGGGTGAGCCCAGCATTTCCTCCAAACCTGGTATGGATGGCAGGCATGCATGGGTGTAATTCACTAGCAAACTTCAAGCTAGTCTAGCCAGCAAATAGGTGGCCCAGCCAGGGATGTTTGACAGGGGTAGGGCCTGCACTGGTATTTGAGGGAATCCATGCATGTAGGTGTGCATACAAGTACATGCATCTGTTTGCTACTGTGCATTAACCCAACCCAGCTGGTGAGTGGGAGACCTGTAGAGCACAGAAGAGGGCATTAGACACACCAAGGGTTGTACTGATAGTTGAGGAATTCATAAACATGCATGGGCTTGTGAGGCTACAGAAGGGGGTGTGTGTGTGTTTTCACTAATGAAGTTCAATCCTGACCAGCTGAAGAGAAGGAAGGAGACTTGGCTGTCTATACTTATGTTTTACACAAGTTCTGACAGTGTTTATGTGGGTGTTGAAGACAGCACATGGTATATAGCAATCTGTGTAAATCAGCCCTGTCAGTGTTATATGTGTCTGTGTATGCCCAGCCTCCCTGCTGGTTGAATCCCTAAATAAGAAAGGAGCAGCCACATCCATGGGCCTGGGATGGACAGAGCCCCAGCTCTTTGGAACACCAGGCTGGGCTCCAGCCAGACAGGAGGAAGCCCCAGCTCCTGGAATCTGCCAAAATACAGCCACCACTTATAACATCCCCTAGCAAGGCTACAGAAGGAATAAACATGAAGGGCTGGTTAAAAAAAGCAGCACTGTTAATGATTTCTTGGGAACAAATGGTCCCTACCATTGCAGTAACTGATTCTTCATCACACAGTCTGCAAGTCCCATCATAAACCATGCCAGGCTTTCCCTGCCCTCCGCAACAGTAATACCTATTTGGGTTACACATTAACAACTGTGCTCACAAGAAAAGTTTACTTTTATCAACATTTCCTGCAATAGAAAAATCTGTGATGGACTTTCAACTGAGAAACAAGGATTGAAAACTGGCCATGGCATCCAAGTGATTATCACCTTGTTTAGTGACTAGGCCTAATGTGGGAACATCAAGCAAAATGTCAGTGTGGACTGCATTGTGAGAGTTACTGACAGCAGCACCCCCCCTGGCTGCTGGAAAGAATGAATGGTATTTGCTGCATCAGTCAACATCAGTTGTAGTATTGCTTTCTCAATCTGCTACAGTTCTGGAGGATAAATCCAATCTGTAATGTTTAGCAGAGTTCAGTGTGTTTCTCCACATCATTTCCCTGTCAATCTCAAGCTGACAAATTAAATGAAGCAGGCAAACAATGACACCAGGGCTTTGGAGAGCACAGTTAACTGGTAAAAAAGCAACACTCTGGAACAGACAGAGAAGCCTATGCACAAGTTCATTTAATCAAGATAATACGAGGATTTTCTTTTTCTAGTACCAGGGATGGTAGGCAGAATACAAGACACACTACTTAAAATAAATTTCAGGACTATCAGACCCTTCAGAACTCTCTCAGCACTACTACATCTTGTAGAAGGGACATACATACAAGGAAGCAAGGTCCATCAACAAAAGAGCAAAAATGCAACCAGTAGTCCAGAACTTCAACAAGGGTTGCTGACATGAGAGTTCTCCTAAGCAGTGTACAGCCATATAAACTCCCCACAAGTGACAAACACAGCACAAGCAGAGGACAACTGTCTAAAGAGGAATGTAAAGTTTACTTTGACAGTATGTACTGAATGGAAGTAGAGTCTTAAGTTTATATATGTCACAATCTTTGATATGGACAAGGCTCAAATTATTCTGGGCCACCTGTATCAAAAGCTTTTTAATCAAGAATGCAAGATTGTGGTGGGTGTTTTAATGCTCTCCAAGGATTTTGCATTACTGGATAATCATCTTCTGCTACTTCAGGTACTTGACAGTATAGTGATCAGCTTTGGGTCTAGAAGAAAGAATATTTGATCTATCTTCAGATCACATGGGAATGAGAAGAGACCAAATCAAAAACCCCAACCATGTTGCCAGACTGTCAGCCAGAATCACTTACACAAGTAGTAAAGGAGACTGTCTCAGTTTCTGTAAATCATCCTAAGGACAAGGATTTTAAGAGGAAAGACCCTAACAGGCCTGAATGTGGCAATGGAGCTGAATTCATATCCTCAAAAGAAAAAAATCCCACCCCCTCACCCCCCAAACATGACTTCCATTTAATTTACTGGCAAATTGACTTCTTACCATGATCCTCCATCAATGCATTTAGATTGGCTTTGGCTTCCATAACACAGAATGGTGACTGACTGCTCAAAAAGTCTGAGAGATTATTGCTGGAACAAGCAAGACGAAAGGCAAGTAGGTCATCTAGTGCAGTTAGCAGATTAGCCATTTCACGGCTATCAGACAAATGGGAGAGAAATATGCATCTCCTTGTCAGCTTATATATCAGAAATGCATCGTTCTGGAGATAACTACTCTACATGGACTCACTTTGACCTTCTGAACAAGGTCTGCAGCTCAGCACCCTCCAAGAATGAAAGTAGAAGTCTACAAAGAAGTTTACAAATTATGTTGAACAGGCCCTGCCAAACTCTGGGTGCCTGCTGACCTCTCCCCACCACCCCTTTCAGTCCAAAAGCTCTGTATTAGTTGCCTAAATTTCCTGTACAGCATATAGGGAGCTCAGTGTCAAACAGGACCCATACACATGTTGAGTGACATCTCCCTTTACCAAGCCTGTTCTCCACAAGCGTAGCTAGAACTCTGCTCATACTGGGTTTACCTAAACTGCAGAAAAGCACTCATGTTAAGGTGGAATTTGCAGCCAAACTTCTTTTAAAACACAGCCTATTTCAACTACCAAAAGTAACAGCTGGGCCACACTTCTCAAAAAAAAAAAAAAAGAGGAGAATTCATCTTTTTTTTCATGCCTCAGGGAATGAAAGAGTGATTCTATTTCCTTCTCAGTTTAAAGCTCACATTCCCTGCTTTATGCTGCAGGCTGAGCTATGAAAGCACACAGTTCACACCCTCTGGTAAAGCTAAGCCTCTGAACAGAAAAGAAATAAAGATTCATTCAGAGAGAAGGATCATCAGTCCGACTCAGCACCTAGATCACTCACCCAACAGTGAGTCTTGCTTGCTCCCTAGACCATACATTTTTTACAACAATCATTAGAAAAATTATAAACCTAGTCAAATCTCCCGAACTTGCACACAGAGCTTCTATGTGCAGAAGAGGTACCAGCAGTGGCAATCAACAGGAGTTAGAATTGTCATTGAACAGGTAAGATCTGAATTTGATTATGAAAAATTAACCAGAGCTGCAGAGTTACTTACCTAAGAATGCACAAGAGGGATGAAGAGGGGACCAAGCCTTTCATGAGAATGAACAATTTTCAGAGATAGAAGTGACTAATGTCTTTAAAATGGGAAACAGACAGTCCTGCTGCTACCCATGGCAGCAAACAAGACAGTTACTACAGCTTTACCCTTGTGAAGAAGCATAAGGCAGATGAACAAGCAACTTAGTAGCACCTATGCAAGAAGAGATCTTGTAAGCAGCATCTACAGACACAGCTGAAAGGATGCCTTCTCCAAAGACTAGGCTAAAGAAAGTAACTGATTTGCACATCATTTTTCTTTGCGTGTAGGTATAGTAGAAAATACTAAGTCACACGTGGTATGCACCCTGCACACAGCTAAGTTTGGAATTTGTCATTGCAAAGTAGTCTGCTGTTTTACTACCAATGATTACTGGAGACTTCGAGAAGGAATAATGCCCAGTACTTTGTAATCTAGTAGTAGTTCAGAAAATAAATCTCACCTGACCATTTGTGTGGTATTTTTGAAGTTGGCAAAGGACTAGTACAGCAGAGCTTTAGAACAAAGTAATTTCAGTGACATAACTGTCAGTAAAACAAACTCTCAGTACATGTTCTAAAAGCTTTTGTTCACTGAGTCTTAGAAGTTTTTTATTCCAAAAAGCCACAGCTAAGGGGGCATCCTAGTTCATTGTAAAACCCCAATCACACCCCGCCTCTCCCCTGCAGTATCACTCGCTAAGGAGATATATAACACAAGTGCAATTAAACAGCTCTGAGTTCTTTTGAGGACAAGAAAATCCGTTATTTCCAAATTCACAAGTAGACCTTTGAAAGAAAGGGAGTATACCAATTCATCTGCTGATAATTCTGTTTATGCATTAGATGACAAAGATGACTGCTGGTTTAAGTTCTCGTATTTCTCTCAAAAATATGATCCCATGAAAGCCTGCATCCAAGACTCTGCACCTTCTATGTTCTACCAAATAGGCTTCACACTGAAAAAAACCCTAGCTTTTTACTTTCACTGTCAATATCCTGTCGTACATTCCAGACTGGGCTGCAAGCAACATTTCCATGCAACACAAAGCAAAAAGAATAAAGATACAGCTGTCATTCATGAAGTCTAATTGTTTTAATATATACTTGTGCCCTACAATATTTTGCAAGTTTTTGGTATTTTACACATGCTAGTTATAAATGCCAAGATTCAACATGCTTTTTAAGCACCTACTGTCTAACTAAATTACCAGCTGGCAAGGAAGTGCCTAGGAACTCTACCTGCCATTATTTATGTTTTCCTGCTGCTTGTGTTTGTACCCACAAAAATCTTCTATATGGAACAAGAAAAAAAAAACAAGGCATTTTACAATAAAAAGTCACATGACATCACATGAATAATGTTTACCTTTTTGTTCCCACTCTGTGGTTTGGGGCAATATCAATTGTGTCTGTAGCTGAATCATGCCTAACTGCCAATCCTAGGTCTGCAATGCAGCACGTTCCATTCTTTTTTACCAATATATTTTTTGATTTCAAATCTCTATGGGCGATCGCTGGTTTGCCTGTAAGGGGAAAAAAACAGAAATAACACATCTGTTAAAAAAAAAAATCACTATTATTCTAAGCCTGGTGTGGATTTTGTTTGAAGTCACAGAATTCCTTCCAGTTCTGCTGCTTTATGTGCATCAGGGTAACTCCTGAAATCATTCATTGTGGACTGGGTGGCTGTCCAGAAAAGTGCCTCAAACATCTATTGTATTCCTCCACTCTACCACTCCTTTCCCTCTTCACGCAAGTAGTTATTGTAGACACATACTACTTGCCACAAAAACATTTCTAATATCTCTGGAAATAGACCCATAGTGCTGTCTCAAATCAAAGTTAAGAAGATATTACAGGCACTAAGTATAGTGCCTTTTAGTAAGTGTTTCATAGGAAGGGTTGTTACATCATAAAACCTGGATATACCATAGAAAGGAAGGTAAAAAGCCTTCCAAATTAAGAAGTTCTATTAGTTTAGAAATTATTACAGGTCCCAAACAGACATTTTTCAATTCACTCAGCTCCACAAGGGGTTATCTTGGGTATCTGTGCTGAGTTCAGCTGCCTTCTCATCACATAACTAAGTAGCTGTGTGGAAAGAACTACACCTTGAAGAGGCTGAATGTTCTAATCAAGAGAATTATAGTAGAAAAAGCTATGTACGTGTAATTTTTTAAAAAATCCAGTATTATCCACATGACAGGCTGAATAGTTGTAAGATTACCTTGTGTGCCAACAATTTCCATGTGAAGATGAGCAAGACCACTGGCAGTGGACAAAGCTAATTTTATCATTCCTTCCACTGTTACTGTATACCTGTTCAGGTAATCAAAGAGTGATCCATGCTCATGATAGTCTGACACCAACCACAGCTGAGTCCACGTACCATTGTCTGCAAAATAACACTGGCATGAATATTACAAACACAAAAAAGACAAGCAAACCATATATGCCACTTTTATACAATGCTTATGAAGTACCAATTATGTTTTGCAAGTAACCTCAGCCAATTAGACTCTTAAATCTTTATTTCTATCCCTGCAGCATTTAAAGGTTAAATTAAATTACCCTTACAGAGGTAAGGGCTGGGACTACCATGTAAGACTTTCTGAACAGCTTAGTGAGTATTCTTTTATTTAAGCTAAAAGACATACCATAGAAAGCCAATGTCACCGATTCTGTGGTGAACTATTCAGTGTATTAGCCAGTCCCTGTCTTCCCCTAACTTTTCTGCTTGTGGGGAATAGTGCTGAATGTATAATGCAGAACTAATCCTGTCACTATTGGTCTAGTACAATGTTGTCCATAAAAAAAATCTTTCAAGCTCTGCCCCATGACTCCTTCAGTCTTCCTATAACCTATCCAGCTGTGAGCCAATTTCCACAGTTACCAGCAGCTGGTAGATTCTTCCTCCTGGAGCAGAAGCTTGCAAGCAACAATTGGACACATTACCTCAAAAACAAAGTAAAATTCCACCCCTGGTGACCTCTAAGTTGCTGGACAAAATTGAGGTTTCCAGGAGGCACAAGGGTAAAGAGAATGAATAACACCGATTATGAGAAAACCAGTTTGCTGTGCAGTTTTTCACCAAACTATGAAGAACATGACAGGCCATAATACATTTGCAGACATCCCAAGGCATACAAATGACAGATAAGCAAATGACAGATAAGAACTAAATAGGTTTTCCACCAAAACAGGTTTTCCAATTTTGTTTTGTTATAAAGGCAACTCTCATGTGGCAGATCTGAGAAGTATTTTTGTAGCTAGCTACTTTTGTAGAAGAGTCTTTCATCTCTTTAAAAGACTAGTTATCCCACAAAAGATTTCAGTTGGACTTCTATCCCGAATTATAAAGCCACTATTCTGTGAGAAAACTCAGCCAAAAAAATATCTTATTATGTGGCAGTCCCTAAGGATTATCAAAATGCATACTCAAGAACTAAATATGAAGAGTAGGAAGAAGAGAATTGAATTCAGAAGTTAGTTCCTATCATAAAACATACTGAAAAATTTTTAGTTTCCAAATAGGAGTTTCTTACATTTCCTTCCCCTCTTCCTCCACTCCCCTCAAAGAACACACCCGGCCCAGAAAAGTCAGAGGCACAAAATGCCTGATCTACAGATTGACAGAAACTGGCTTTATAGAAGTACTTGTGCTTATCTTTAAATAAGCACTCGGGTGAGGATGGGAAAAACTTTCAAACATCCCTTCTACTTGGATGTTTCTAGGGAGGCCAGTGATGCCATTAAAAATAATCTAAAAAATTAAAAAGCCACCAATTGCTTCCGAGTAGGGAGTCTAATCTACATTCAAACAATTCTCATAATGGAAAGAGAATTCTGCCCTGCTACATTCACAGAATAGTCTCATGTAAGTTAAACAGGCAAAAGAAAGCAGTCAAATGCTCTAACCTGTGAAAGACTCTTAGAAACCTGCTACTGCAGTGGGAAGCTTCTTATAGTATGCCCACAGAAGTGACTCCTAAGCTTTGTTTTTTAAAAAAGAAAAAAGGAAATTAAAGTTATTTTTTTTAAAATAACTTCAACTATTTTAGTTAGGACTGCTGCTTCTTTTGCTGCTTCACATATCCAAGCATGAACTTGTAGAACTCAGCATACTTTTTCCAAAGAAAATTGTGGGCTCTGAAAACTCAATCTCACAGTATTAGCTTCACTGAACCATTAGAAACAGATATGTGTGCACAGGCATATAAAAAGTGCTCTCAAATACATGTAGTCAAAGAGCTCCAAAAAGCTGTAGAAGTTCAAGATAAACTAACTTAATCAGTTCAGAATGTTCTCTTCACTCAGTTTTATTCTACTGCTTCACCAGTTATGATTCTACATTGCCTGAAATAATCCTCTCCTAGGCATTAGCACTATACACACTCATTTCTTGATCCTGTATTTGATTTCTTCTCCTGTTTCATATGAATGGGATACCTCAACAGGTGTCTGAAGTTTAGACACCAATAAGTACGGAAATTAGTAATCTAATTTTAAGTAGTCTACCAGACCTATTGTGTTTAAACAGATCTTTTAAAGATGTCACAAAGTTTCTGAAGAATAATCATTGCTTTGAATCAAAGTTATAGTGTCTTTGCATAAAGTTTTTCCACTCTTAACTCTAGGTGCCCACCTAAGAAGAGAATATGCTGCTGATCACAGACCAAAGATAAACTTCAGTTTTATCTTATTACCTGCAAGTTTGAATATTAAGTCTGTTTCTACCTTCCTTCCAAACAAGAAAACAAAGCTGGGCTTACTACCCATCCTGAAAGGAGCCATGATTCTCTCCTATTGTATGTCATATTTGTGGCCCTCCAACAAGATTTTAAGAAGAGATAATGTTACACCCAAGCTTACAGGAATAATACTAAATACAAACAAGCTGAAATGCAGCAATAAGTACAGTGTCCAGCTATCAGATGGGACCTACTACATTTTCTTTACCTTGCTATATTTGACAAGCTACACATTCATTTAGCAATATAAGCAGAACATGTTATGATGAACTTCAGTCTTCTTACACTGTTGACAGTAGTTAATTATTACCAAGTAATAATTAACCTGACCCAGAGTATTTTTGGCTGCACAGTAAACAGCATCTGCCATGAAGCTTTCAATCACAAGATTTGCATTATCAGGTAAGAAAAAGTAATTGCACTCAGTAGTAATTACATACAGTAGCACAGCCTTCCATGACAAGGTAACCTAATTTAGTTAATATACACACCATGATCAAGAATCTCAAGCAATTTCAGAATGTTCAAGAACACTACAAAAGTTTACATATGATCTTGGAAACCTATTTAAGAGATTAATTATGGTTATTTCATCTGTTTGCAAGAAACCTGAAAGTATTTTAGACCATCAAAATCACTCAAAAGGTTTTTATTTTGCAGTTCTAACAAAATTTGAAATTCTAAGTAAAAAAGCTTTCAGATTTTTTGTTAGAAGACTCATTACAGTTTGAGAAAAACATTAGTGAAGTCCAAGCAACATCCATCTTAGACAAGCTGCTTCTTGAAGAAAGGAATTTATAACAATTGCTTTATGAAATATATAATCAAGTTTTGATTAAAATGCAATTGACTGAATTCACTTAATTGAAAAAATGCTTTTTCCACATTGGTACTAGCAAACCAAAACTTTAGACTTGGCACATGCGTGTTTTTAAACCAAATACTAGGTTTTAAGCTGTGACAGTACTGCTTGGTACAAGTTTTGAACTGCAGACTTATGTTCCAAGTTGAACATTTAAAAGCAGTTACGGAAACTGCCTAATTGCATGTGTTCTCTAGCTGTCATGTAGTTAAGTGTTTCAAAGCAGAGAGTGGGATATATTAGCCTTTTTTGGCATACAGATAACGTAACAGAAAAACAGAGGAAAAAGCAGTGAAAAGATCAGACACAGATGGGATCTCAAACTAGAAAACTCTTAGAAATAAGATATTTGGGGAGATGTCAGGGAAAACACTTTTGCCTGTGGCTGGAAGAGGACTGATATTTTGTTAGTGAAACAGCTTGACTCCATCACATTAAGATAGTCATCCAATTAAATTGATGAAAAGCACTTGAGCTGTGTAGATTAGCAAGATCTTCCAGTCAAATTCCTTCTACTCAGGCTAATGCCAGAACTTCAAATAGAATAAATGGCTCAAATATTACTTTTTTCAAGAGGAAGGAATTCTGCTCATTTCTGTACAGCATATTGCCTAATATAATTCTTGGGGATCCACTTATCATGTAAGGTAGTCTGACTGAACAAAACTTTCACCTTGGGAAGCGCAGCTTTCAATTCAGGGGAAGGAATGGAGAGACCAAAGTATTTTAGTGCATAATGTTATCTGAAAGCGTGTAGTACAAGACTTCACCTTACTTGTAACATGTATGGTTACAGACAGCTACCCAGGGAAACCTTTAGTACTGTAAACAGAGGTTACTAACACTGCTCTTTTGCAAGTAGCATAGTGCAGATAAATAGTCCCTGATACACTTTACAATTAAGTATCTAGGTTTCAAAGTACAGAAGAAACCCACACAAAAACCAAACTATTAGTTTAGGTGCTTCAAAATAAGGCAACACATGGCCCAGAAAGTAATTTCCCTGACCTAGCAGTATTTGGAAGTTAGTGTATACTCCTGGCTAAGTAAAGAGCTACCCAGAACACAACCATGCCAGCCAGACAGAACACAACTGCAGTTAACAACATTGCTTCTCAGTCCTCAAGCTGGCTTAACAGCAGCACCTATTTCCCAGTAAATTTTGGGATGGGAAAGCAGACAGATTAGACCAGCTCCTGTAGCAGTCTGAACACCATACAGCTATGGGGAAGTAGAGGAGGATGTGCCATTAAGGCACATGGAATGTCTAAACAGTGTAGTAGAACAAGGAGTGAAGACAGCAGTTCAGTCACAAGCTTTATGACTCCACCATCTGAGCTGAACGTCACTGACTCAGCTGATCTACCTGTGCTTGTAAACACTTTCTAAGCTATACATGCACCCTTCTACCTGAAGGCAGCCCCTCCCCCCCAGTTTTACAACTACAGTGGCCAGCCAGATGTTCCCCAGCAGTTGTGAAAAACATGCTCTTGCATTAAGAGGAAAGACCTAATCAATTCCTTCACTGGTAGCGAGAATTGCAACATGACACTGGCCCATATTTACACCACAAACTACACGTCAGGAGATACAAGTCCTCAGCATTCAGGATGAATATACAAGAACCGACTCCTGAGAATTATTCTCCATGTATCACTGAAGCTTTCAGCAAGCACTGAATTGGGACTGCACAAGTAATTCCTTGTACTGCTCTGTCTCCGTAGTCATCTTTGCAAGGTCTTAGACATACTCAGATTCTTACAGTCTAATGACTTTGTACAGTCAAGCTAGGCTGTAGTAACTCCTGAATGCATTCAACAGTCTGCCCCTATGGAGAAATGGATGCAAATCCTTCACAGCTATTATTGCTGTGAACTGATACCTTATCTTGTACCTGGCACCTAATAAGCATTTATCAGTTAGCACCAGCATCTACAATGAAAGACTGTTAATAGGTGTTTAGAGCCATTGGTCTCTAGAACCATTTTGCCATACACTTGCTCCTTTCAAGAGTACCACACGACAGCTCACCTGCTAAACTGGAAGAACTACTTCCATAACGGTCCCTCTACGTTCTCCCATTTATGCAATATAGGTGGCCTGAAGTAGTCTAAACAAGAGTTGAAGTATTAACCTCCTTCAATATCCAGGACTTCTGAATGCCTAACCCAGAGACACAACAGTGTGTACATATTTCCTCACTGAGCAAATGCAGAAGGTTATACTGAGAATTCTGCATTGGTTGGTTAAAAATAATCATCCAGCTTTCCACATCTGCTCAGCCAGCAACACTGTTAGAAAATAGTCAAGAATAGCAGCATTTTCAAAATATGTCTTTATTCATTTTTCATAAACCAATTACCAACTAGTTCTCAAGAAAACAGAAAAGCCTTGCCCTAAAGCCTTAAAGCCTCAAATAATAGCATGACCTATCAACTATGGATTTTTTATTTTTATGTACAGCATATTAACAATAGAAACCAGAAACAATTTCATATTGCATTCTATAATATTACAAGGAACCTAAAGATGACTAAAGATGACCAAGTCAAATGGAATTTCATTCTATTGCATCTGGAACCTGAGCAATAACATAATAATAAAAATAATCAGGAAATTATTTTAGGAACCCACTCGTTTAGGAAACCTTCTGCATATCTCCTTTGCACAGCAGTCAAGTGTATTTTTGGGACAAACTATCTATGGGTTCGGGGCAAAATGGGAGACTAGTATGCTTAACTACAGATAGGTTTTGTTAAAAGTTATAGCTAAGGTATTGCAATATATCCTTTATGCTTTTAAGTAAGACATAGTACCTAAGGCTTCTGCAGAGATAGATTTTCATTTATGTCTTTAATGCAACTGATCTACTGATTTTAAACCCAGGCTCCAGATACTCCACTAGGTCCATCAGAACAAACTCAAGTTCTCGCAGGTGCTATTAATATCCAATACAACTTTAGGCATGAAAGTAAGACAGTTTCTAATGGAAAAAGTTGCCTGGTATGCTGTAGATCTGCAAGTTCTTGGAGGGTGAGAAGTTCAACAAACGGCTGTTAGGAGCAAGGTAGCTATAGCTAACCCCTTCCTGGAGAAGGGAAGTGTTCTGTACAAACTCTTGGGTTCTGTTCCAATTCTAGAGATTTATATAGATATAGAAACTTGAAATTAATCTAGTGGCAATTAAAAATAACTCTATTTACATCTATACTTCAACTACACTGAAACCATTTAGGAATTTCCCACAAAACTGAGCGCCCTTTAAGAATCCAGGATGTGTGCGAATTCCTGACTCCTCCCTAAGGTGACAGAATTTTCTTTTAGTGCCTTCTTCGCAAAAAAGTCAAAGGCCATTGTGGTGAAACATGTAATTTCAGATTAAAGTAACTGAATGAAACAACAGCATAACATTTTAGCTCCCCTTAATGTAAGAAATGCAAAACCTCTGGTTTTGCCAAATTTTCATGTCTTGAATTGGACTGCAGGAAAACCCAAGAAACTTTCATCTGACTGAAATGGCAACAAATCAAGTTGAAAAAATGGTTAAACTGTTCCTCTTGGTGGATAATTAAAGGCTTATCAGGAGAGCTTCAGCAAACAGGTGCAGTTTTTTTAATACTAGGAACAAATAATGAATTCCCTTTTTCCAATTTCTTTTCTAACTGGAGTTTTAAATGAATAGCTTTTCATATCTCAGCCTTAAAAATTAATCTTCTACCTCCGACTTTATATTAGGACAACAGGATTAGACATGATCTCTTTTGGTCCCACACACCTATCTTATCAAGCTGTTAGGGAAGTACAGGTATTCAGCAGAAGTGTGGGCTGACAGGATAGGCATCTCCTTTTTGATACCAAACTTAGCCAGTATTTTAACTTGCTTGTAGAAATTACACCTCATTAAAGATGCCATTTTTTTTTTTTTAAGATTTACACAAAGCATGTTTTCCAGAAAAAGGAAAATGTACTTTTTTCCTTCATTAAACCTGAAAAGCCTGCCAAACCCTGAAATGCTCTAGTAACAAAATTATTTTTTGCTACTCTTAATTGGATCCTCACAACTTCATTTTCCCTTCCACTTGCCATCTACTCTGAGCGGGTTCACAATGAGCAAAATTAATTCATAGTATCACTAACCTTTGTTGTCTGCAGCTATAAATCCAAGAATGTTTTCATGCCGTAGCATAACTGTTTGATAAATTTCTGCTTCGCGAAACCATGAGCGCTCCTCTCTTGAAGAGAAGATCTTCACAGCAACTTCTTCTCCTCTCCACTTCCCTCGCCAGACTTCTCCAAAGCGACCCTTACCAATACTTTCTTGAAGTACTATAGTTCTTGCAATTGTTCTTTGCACAAGTAAAGGTAAACCTAAAAAGAAGATTCAACATTAACCTTAAACATCACTAACAAAATAAGCACTTATAAGTACTAAATATAAGATTCATATTCCATTAAGATATTTCTCTGAAAAGCCACATAAACTCTCTTAAGATTTTTAACAGCTTGTTGTGAACTGCTGACAAGCACATAGGTAAGATGCTGCCTTCAACCTTAAAGGCCAGCAAAACAAGTACTCAAAAATAGTATGCTACAAACTGCCTCTACAGTCGTTAGAAAGAAGGCACAAACTTCCTTTCAGTTTAGAATTTTGATAGTTGTTGATCCATAAAATTTTATTTTAACGAAAAAAAGAAACAAACCACGAAACAATCAGGACCAGGACTGAGGGGCTTTTTGGGGTGTTTTTTTGTTTGGTTGTGGGGTCAGTGGGTGGTTGGTTTTTGTTTGTTTTAAAAAAAAAAAAAAAAAAAAGAATCTGCCCATAACTGTCCTGGCAAAGCAGTTCAAGAGCACTTTTGCTAATGATTCATTTACTTGATTTATCACTAGATACGATTCGGTCCATTTCTAAGTTAAAGTTAAACCATGCTTATCAGGAACACTGACTGTCAAGTGTTCATGGTCATGCTCAAGTATGCCAGTAGCCTGTTAGTACTCTCAAGCCACTGTAAAATAGGAAAACATCCCTGTAATGCAAGCTTTCCATTTTACAGGCCGTTCTTCTGCACCTCACTATAATTATACCTGAGAAAACTGCTTACATTCATGAAGGTTTTATAGCTTCAGAACATCAGCATGCCTCAAACTCACAGCACCACATAATGTGCTTCAATAAGTTTATACAACAAACAAGAAGCACTGGCAACTGCCAACCAGGGTGGGTTTTTGTTTATTTTAAGTCTTTACTGTTGTAAATGCAAGGCTTGTCACAGGATTCTGCAGTGATACTACATTGCAGGATGAATGCATCACACAGGTTATCTGCTCACAATAAGCTCTTTTGGTATAGCATTATTTCACTTAAACACTTTACAAAGTAATCTATTACTCCATAATCGCTCTTCCAACAGCTGACAGAAGAACATGTATTCTTTATGCTATAGAAGATAAGACACAATAGCTCAAACAACTAGTTCCTGTCCATCTCTGGACATTCTTAGCTAATAACAGCACTAGAAGGGCATCTGATCTGGTCAGCAGCATTATCACACTTGTGTCTCAGCCCGAGGAATGCAAATTAAAACACTGCAGTGTTCAGAGGAGTTCAAGACTTCCAAACCTACTGGAATTTTCTGCATCATCTGTGCTAACAACATACCTACATGAAGAAAGGAAGGGGAAAAAATGGACACCTTACCAGTGATTTAATTGCCAGGTGCTGCAATAACCCCTACTGAGAAAGTTAGAATTTTTGCTGTAATAGCTGTCCCCAGGTCAACTGTGCTGTTTACCCAAACTGTAAAGGTTCACCTGTGAAGCCCAACTTGCCTTCTTTACGGACAGACTTTTGAAATGCAGAAAATGCCAAACTAGAACAACCACAGGACAAAACTCAACCCTGAAAATGTAAACTTTGACTTTGTTGCCAGAAAAAGCTTCTTTCTTAGCACTTACGTACTATTGCAAAATCCACTGGCAAATGTTAAATACAAGCTGATTTTGTATACTTGAAATGGGTGATATGCCTAATTTTTTTTGCCAGCAGCTGCTCCAGAAACCTGTTTATACATTTTAAGTTTCAGATGCACTGCTCTCAACTTGCTGTACCATTTATAGACATCCCTTCTTGTTTAAAAAAAGATGTCCAGCTAACATCTAAACAGATAAGCTTTTAACCTTCCAGACATGAAACATTTCAATTTCACCTTACAAACCCCCAATCATCATGTTAGCATGTCACATTACAGTAAAAACCCTGCAAACTGATCTATACTTATTTTTACAGTTTTTACAAGATTCAACTTGCTTAATTTTTGCAACTATGCTTTCTCTTACTACTGCTGCTGAACAAACCCAGAAAAATGGAATCCATATTAATCTTACATCCATAAAAATTCCTTACAGACTTTCTGTTGCAACTGAGCAGTCTCCTCTTTTTGCTATAGAGGAAACACAGCCCTGTATCACCAGGAACTTGAGCAACTGCTTTACTGTAAACCAGACCGCCTGAAAAGTAGCTCACTAGAGATAGCTACAACATTAGCCTTTGACATTGTCCTGGTTTCGGCTGGGATAGAGTTAATTTTCTT